GTGTCTGACACCGACTTACAGGCTGCAAGCAGGAGAAGTTCAAAGCGCCGTTGAGCACATTTGTATGTTTTTGCAGGCGTGTGCGTGTGTAAATGCGTATGCAAGTCACCTGGTGTGCATGCTGGTGTTGTAGACAGACTCTTGCACTGTGGCGCGATGGTAACATGCAGCAGCAGCTCCGAGCGGTTGATCAGGCTCTTCACCAGCGCTTTGGTTTTAGCCAGAGGAACGGAGCTTCTCTGCTGCTGCATGGAGTTCACCTCATGGAAGAACTTCTCTCTGTTTGAAACAAAACCAAACTCACACAATCACAATGATCTGAAATACCAGTAATTTCATAAGTACACTGCCATTCCAAAGTTTGGGGTCTGTGAGTTTTTTGTTTGTTTGTTTTTGAAAGTCTCTCTTACTTATTGTATTTTTATTTTTTAATATCATTAAGATACTTATTATAGTTTTTATTAATATTTGAATCAGTTTTCATTTTTGTACTTCATTTTCATTTTAAATGTTATGTATGAAAATGTTTATTTAAATTTTTTTTGTGTGCGTGTGTGTTTTGTCATTTTATTGTCGTTTTCTGTGGTTTTATATGTCTGTGCAGTTTTCATACATTTTTTTTATTTCAGTTTTAGCTTTAGATATCTTAGAACATTGTTAAATTAAATTAAAATAAAAAATGTCGCCTTGATAACTAGCTGAAATAAAAACGTTTTAAAATATTTTATTTCAGTTAATATCCATTTTATTTCAAGTCACGAAAATGTTTTTATGGTTTTAGTTTTAATTTCAGTTTTAGTTAACTACAAAAACCCTGGTCTCCAGAAATATTGTGAAATATTATTAAAATTTAAAATAACTAGGGTTGCAAAAAGGTGGAAAATTTCCAGTAAATTTTGGAAACTTTCCAGGATTTTTGGGAATATTCCAGGGATTTTTGAACGTTTACGGAAATTGTCCACCCCTTTGCAACCCTAAAAAGAACTGTTTTCCATTTGAATATATTTTAAAATGTAATTTATTCCTGGATTCTCTGATAGATAGAAAGTTAGACAGTAAGAAAGAAATATTTTGTAACATTTTAAATGTCTTTACTCTCACATTCGATCAATTGCTGAGTAAAACCATTAATTTCTTACTAATCCAAATGCTTTGTGATCAATTTAGCTGCACTATAGGAAGCCGTAATGTGTTTCACATCATACCTTAAAGCCATCACAGCGTTTTCTGGATCTGCGCCGGCATGCATGTGAGATAATAACAGCATCACGCAGCATGCATGTGAGATAATAACAGCATCACGCAGCATGCATGTGAGATAATAACAGCATCACGCAGCATGCATGTGAGATAATAACAGCATCACGCAGCATGCATGTGAGATAATAACAGCATCACGCAGCATGCATGTGAGATAATAACAGCATCACGCAGCATGCATGTGAGATAATAACAGCATCACGCAGCATGCATGTGAGATAATAACAGCATCACGCAGCATGCATATGAGGAGCGCTGCGTCTGCTGTAACACACACACACCTGTAACTGTCTCTCCATTGCATTGATCTTCTTGAAGGTCTCGGCCATGATTTTGCAGAGCAGGTTGTGCTCCTCTCTGTGCATCTCTCTGTACTGGAAGTTCACCAGCGACTGCAGCGCATCCACCAGACCCAGGTGCTTTATGACACACGACACGATCACTTCCTCCATCACATCAGGACGCATCACCTCTCTGAGAGACAATTAGGATGGTGTAAGTCATGTTTTTAAATTCAAATTTATTTGCATAGTGCTTTTTTACAATACATATAATTTTAAAGCAGTGTAAGATAATTCTGAAATTTGTGGTTTGCCTTTACGGAGGTGTGAAAATAAAATAGAATCTAATATAATAAAAATAAAATAAAATAAAAAATATATATAAAATAAATAAATAAAATAATAACAAAACATAACATAACATGGAAAGAAAATAAATTATTTATTTGAAATAAAAAAAATGCTAATAAATCACTACACAAATAGACAATAAGACTTAACAAAAATACAATGCAAATGGCACCTTATTGTAAACTAACATTAACAAAAATTAATAAATCTTGCAAAAAATATTCATGATACATAAATACACACACATATATAAAATGTAAGTTCATGTTAGCTAAAGAATGAACTAATCTTAACAAATGGGACCTTATAGTAAAACGTTGCTGACATATTTAAAATAGTTGGTTTTATGTTTAGATTTGTAGTATAACAATAATATATATATATATATATATATATATATATATATATATATATATATA